CGGGGCAAAACACAGAAGCTGTGTTAATTTCCAGCAGGAAGAAAGTGGTATCCATCACACTGAATATTGACAGACATAGCATCACGTCACAGTCATATCTAAAATACTTAGGCGTAATAATTGACGCGAGAATCAACTAAAAAGTAAATGTCTAGAAAGCCTGTGAAAAAGCTGCGCTTGTAAACACGGCCTTAAGTCGAATAATGGCTAACATAGGTGGGCCTAGTCAGAGCAGAAGGCTACTATTGACAAAGGTAATGTATGCAGCGCCTTCCGCAGTGTCGCACGAAGCCTCTGGATATCTGGTATAATGCTACCTGGTATAATGCTACCTGGCATAATGGCCCTGGAGTATAAGAAAGTGTACGATAACAGCAAAAATATAGGCAGGCCTCTCACAGCCATAGTCCGCGAAGAAGAAAGACGGAAGAGTATAAATGAATGGCAAGCACGGTGGAAGACGTTGAAACCTGGTGTAATACAAAACATGGCAACGTTGACTTTTATTTGACGCAGCTCAGTGGGTATGGTTGTTTTATGGAATACCTTTACAAATATAGTCCCGATAAGGCGGAAATGTGTTCATATTGTGACAGTGAGAGAGAGAATACAAAACACGTTTTTTTCCTCTGGCCGCAATATGAGACAGAGAGAAAATATTTGGAACCCCAAATTTTTGAAAGACTAACACCAGAAAATCTTGTGCTACACATGCTACGGTCAAAGCAGGCATAACAGCCAAAATCAGATTTTACATCCCTAACACGTTCTAGCCAATAGGCTTAGCTACCCCTGCGATGTAATACTTAACGGTAGTTCCGCATGGGAATCGTAATAAAGCTATTGGTTATTTTTCTTGAGATGTTTTGTTTTAGTGAGTTAAAGTCTCACACTACTATTGTAAAGGCAACAGTGTCTTTCAATGATTTTTTTACATCTCGCAAAAAAAAAACATATCACACATGCACCAAAGGTTACGACAACCTTGGCGTCATTAAACCAATATCGTGATACTTACAGTTGGACGAATTAGAAAAACAAAAAATAATTATTTATGTTGCACATGCACATAAATTGAGTTGTATACTTCAGGGGGGGGGCTAGGGTTTTTACTTTCGAAAAATCGATTTTTTTTTTCTCTCTTATCTTATTGTTTAACATTTCAAGCATATGTCCTTAAAGTTTTAGGTTGATAGAAGCTATATTTTTAAATTTATTGTCTTATTAATATCCTGGCCTTTAACGCTCCAACCAATAGTTTATAAACTTTAGACGCGTTTTTCTCAAAACTAATTTTTCAAAGTCCGTGTTCACTGTCAGTTAACTACTTGACCGATTCATTTCAAACTTTATACACATTTTTGACATATAAAATTTGTTTTTACATTAAGGGTGTTTAAATGAAAAAAATTATCAGAGAACGTTGGGGGGGGAAGATTTGATGCTAATTTAACAAATTTTTCTTGGTTTTTTTCGGATAATTTCCAGCCGAGCTATGGTGAACACCGCAAATTGTTTTTTTCTCAAGACGTTCTGGGGGAAGCTCTGTTACCGGCTTATGCTTCAATATTCCTGCATGAACAAATTACCCTATATTATCGAAAGTATGCTTAATAATGTACAAAAGGTCCGAATAAAATTACTCAATCCATATGTAAGAAAAAAAATTGGCAAAAAAGTATTTTTTTTTACCTTGACGGAGTCGCTTGTGTAGCAGCTGGAAAGAAGAGAATAACATCCGTTCCCACGACAGTCGGGTCTACGTAACCGGAACGGACCCGGGTTTATTCCGGCACTGTCAACTCGGCAGAATTCTGCCGCTACAACAACAACAACAAAGAGAATAACATAGCTTTATTAGATTGGTCTTCACAGTCGCCAGATGCGAACACGATCGAAAACGTTTGAGAACTTATGAAGATGAAACTACGCGGAAAAAAGATGCGATCAATAAATCATGTATTATTCCGGGCAATATGCCGAAATTTATTTATTTAATTATTTAAGTCTATGAACATTAGTTCTTACAGACTTATAGAAAATTATAGCATAATAAAACAGGGGCATCAACTAGTCCACAGCTTTGTTTTCCCCTATCTTTGGAATAAACTTAAAAGGGCGCAGCTTGATACCAGAAAGCCATACTGAAGAAGAAAAAACGAAATTAAGAAAAGAGGACACACCTAGCATAAAATTTACCCACTATTATTAATATTAGTATCTTTTTTAATAAGTTTATAACATAAAAGATGTTGCCTATCAACATGAGCATTTTTACCAATGAAATATATAATCTCTGCCTCAGTAAGAGAGCTCTTAAAGGCAGACAAATGAATTCATTCCATGGATATGACGACATCGAGATCACATTTGGCATTAACACCAACAACAGTTGAAGCAGCCGGAACTTTTTGCTCCTATTACTCACTGTTGATTTCAAAGTACCATTGGCATTAATAGAAGTCGAGTTCGAATTAACAGGACAACTCATGGTATCATCAAAGGCAGCTGACTGAGCAGTATTAACAGCATTTTTTATGCGGTCAGGCTTAGCAGCAACAATTGGATTGTTTTGAGCACTGGCATGCGAGTGAGCATTGACCTTCCTAACAACAGCCTCAGTATATGTATTGGCGCAGTTTTAACAGCGTTGGTAACGGCGGCAGGTATCAGCAGAAATAAAAACAGCAACAGCGGCAGTGGTAAGAGTGAAGCTGACAGCAGATGAAGCAGCAGATAATGCATTAGATATTAATGCAGCCTCAGTATACAAGTATGTATTGGGACAATTTTAAAGCAGCGGGAGCTAAATAATCCATACTCACATTTTTATAAGACACAAAAACAGCAACATTGGACGGAGAAGCATTTGTACCAACAACAGTGGCAGTAGTGAGAGTGGAGCTAGCAGCAGATGAAGTGGCAGAGGAAGCATTCGATACGTTGCCAGATAATTTGCTCTGCACATTACAGATCTCTAACTTTACAAACAAGGAATTCCGATCATCATATAGTTGTTGGGTTAATGAGAGAGCCTCAGAGTTTTCACTTCTCAGTGAAGTAACTTCAGCAGAGATTTTTAGCAACAAATTTACCTCATTAAAATAATGATGATTCAACAAGGGTTCTATTAATTCATTTTGTGACTGATCAACACTTTGTTGGTGCAAATTTACAGTAGAAGTAATGAGAGGCTGAACATTACATACTGTTGGCGACGCAGGCGGCGAACGAATTAAATTTCTCCGAGCTACAGCCCAAACTTTGAAATAAAATGCCTTATTAGATTTAAGCAAAAAGTGTACACCAGCCTGTGATAAATTGACACAAGGCAGATAAAAAACTTCGTTGCATCTTAGGCTGAGCACGATCTACTCTTAGACCACAAGCGCACGGCATTAACACAAAATAGCGTTTGAGTTACGGAGGAAAAATAAGCACGTCCACTCCCTGTGACTTCAACTCACATGTATTTTTTATAATTTTGTGGACCTTTTTTAAGATATTTTTAACTGTTATCTTGATGCTGCTAGCAGGCGGCGGCTCTCCAAGCAGATGACTGCAAGGATGGTTACTACTACTATTTAGAGAGAGTTCGTTGTGTTCCTGTGTGTTAAAAACCTCAATTGCCCAGCTGATAATGAAAATATTTAAACAAAAAAATACTTATATCTCTCATTAATTTTTAAATTTAACGTAAGGTGTCATAAATTGTGCAAAGAAAAAACATTTAATAAACTTGAGATCGATAATGCGATCTCTAAAATAGGCGTTCCATTCAATAGCATTTAAAAATTTCAGGAGTTTAAATTTTCACTTTTCAAAAAAGGTGAATTTATTTTGTAAACGTGCTGGAAGTATTGAGTGCAATAAAAAAAAAGATGAATACAAACAGTATACTCAAAGGATTTTGTTCAAAACTAAATATCAAGATATAAGTGCGTATGTATGTATAAATATCGAATTCAAATTTTCAAATTAATACAGTTCTTCTAGATGCGTTAATCTTGCAAAGCAAAGTATTTTTTTTTTCAATTCATGAATGTATTTAATAACTTGAATAGCAGGGCGAACATCGTAGTTGCACAATATGTAAATTTTTTTTTTTACATCTTCGAAAATTGTTTCACCCCTATTCAACACAGATGAAAAAATCACCGAACACACACAATATTATCGGAATGGGCCTGTCTTGAAAACAGTAAACTATGACTAATTTTTATAAAGACAAAAATTATGGGCGCGATGGGTGCTACGTTTTTTGAATTCATTCACTAAATCAGATTCATCGTTAATTTGGAAAGACTTCATCATTAGGCCAAATAATTTTCCGACCATTTAATCTATAAGGATATGTATGACCTTATGTCCGGTTTATAAAAAACGAGCACAGTTAGGGATATATTTTGTGTTATTATGTACGCAACGGTTGTTTAAAATCTGATTCCACATGCATTCATATCCGTATACAAATTTACATGTCCGTGAAAATTTACCTAACTCTTGGAAAACAAATTTCAAAATTTCACGTTCAAATTGAGAGTTGAAGCATTAAATGAAGTTCACTCCGCGCTTCATTACTCCATTTTTAATATTTTTACTTTAGAATACACACGAGGTGTGTTTAAAAAATAACGGGAGTGTAAGAATTATGCGGGTTTGGAGAGTCCAATTGTCAAATTTTTGTTATTGTGTTGATATACTTGTCCCTGAAGTACAATAAAATTTTCATCTGTATTCACTGTATGCTTACTTTGCCTGTAGTAGTCGCTAAGGTTAGACGTGTTTTACGAACGTGGCGATTTTCGTGTCGTGTTCAATCATATCAAACTTTTGACAATTGGATTCTTCAAAAACGATTTTTATTTTAACAGACCTCGTATGCAAGGGATTATACCTAGAGGTCAGCAATCTTAAAATTTGCGAGAATAGTGTACTTGTATGCCCAGTTTCACCCGAACATATCATATATTAACTTTTCGTTCTAAAATATACCTTACCTAGTGGTTCCAGAGCGTCGATAAGCCTTTTAAATACACTGATAAGTCGCGTGCAACGAAAACACCAATCATTATAAAACATGACAATATAAGGTGTGGACTTGCTGTTTGGAACTATTTTCTTCTCATAATTCTTAATAGTTATGGAGATTCTGTGATAGAAGCTGATGTCATTGTCCGCATTAAACTGTTTTCCAAAAAAATTTTCAAATTGTTCCGAGGAAGTTTTACGGTATAAATCACTCTTAGCTGCAAAATAATGCGCATCTTCACTGCGTATTCCATGCTGATCATACATGCGTCGTCGGTCAGGGTCACTTAGCAACTCATAAGCCTGCTTCATTTTAACGAAAATCTTATTCGCATCTGGGTGTTTATTTTTATCAGGATGCCTGTTAAAAAATGATTGCAATAATTAAAAACTTTGTATATTCAAGGAAAAAATAATGCTCTTCGACAATTCAAAAATGATCGTATGAACAAAACAATACCCTTCACAGATCGTGTGCAAAACTTCAGATCGATATGTCAAACACTAAGGAACTGGTTCGCGTATGTACAGACGGACATAGCTTATTCGACACAGCTCATCACGCTGATCATTTATACATATACTTTATAGGGTCTCAGACGTTTCCATCTGGGTGTTACAAATTTTGTGGAAAACTTAATACATCTCTCTGGGAATAAAAGTAAAGCAATTTTATTTTAACAAGTAAGGAATGTCCAAGTTCGGGTGTAGCTAAAAATTTTAAACTTTCGCAATTTGCAAGGATCAAAAGAGTAAAAATGTAAATACAGGTGTTAATAAAACTTTATCAAAATTTTTGCAAATGATCTCAATATTCATTATTCGGCGAAATTATGAATAGATTAGATTACATATTTTGTAACTCATCGATTTGTACTATGGGTTAAATCACTTATAAGAAGCAGATTATATATATACGATTAAAAGTTAACCGGTAGTTTGAAAAATATTATCTTAGGATAGGAGAAGTATTGACGCAATTTTATTCATCTTAGACACAAAAACACATTATTATAAATAAGTGTCTTCCGAATTCAGATATCTCACAGAATGACTGAAGAAGTTTGAAGATCCTTATATTAGGTACATGGGAGACAGAGGAAGTACTGATCCGATTTCATCCATTTGTGGCAAATGGGCATTTTACTATCAGAAAAGATTCACTCCATCCATCCATTAATAATCTCACTGACTAACCGATATTTGCGTTAAAATTGGTATCTGGTGGCTTGAAAAGCAATATTCCATCATCAACCATTTTTTGACGAGGGATGAAGCCACTAAACTTAAAAAATATGTTCTAAAAAATTTTGGCGTGGTTGTATTCCGATTTAGCCCATTTTCACATTGTAGCATAACGGTCTGAGGAAAAGTTATACACCATACATACACCTACGGCCACGCGGAACTTACCTCTATACTTTCATACATTTTTTTTCGGACTTTTTCGGGATTTTCTTCAAATTTGTTGTTTTTTATTTTTGTATTGTTTTTAGTAAGCACAAGTAAACTTATTATATTACTTTATTATAATTACGATTTTAATTTTAATTAATTTATTTCGTTTATGGATAATAATAGTCTTTCTTTAGTTATACAAAAGCGTTCGATTTTATTGTTTTTAAATTAATAACGCAACTAAATTTTGTGTCTTAATTTAAATAAATAACATAAAACATGAATTTTAATTATAGTAGAAGTTGAATTAAATTAAAAAAATAAAAACTTATAAATTTTTCATCGCGTGTCAGTCCCTTTTATTTCGAGCTCATTTTGTAAGCCTCACAAACTTTCAATTATTTAGTCTACAACATAATCAGGGGTGTTGTAGAATCTGATAGTTGTCAGAATTAGAATTGAAACCGACAAAAACCAATTTTATCGGTTTTGTTATAGGAAACAAAACAAGAGGATTTTTGCTGACAGATTTGAAACGTAAGTGAAGAAAATAATTTATATTATTGTTTCGATTTAATTTATCGTTATTTCTATAGGGGAAAACATAAGAATAAAACAAAAAATGTCATAATTATCGAGTTTATTGAAAAAATCAAGATATTTTAAGAGAATTTACAAAACGTAACAAACGTAATTTAACACTCAAATTCGTCTTTATTCAGTCGATAATGTGTTATAAATCTGTAAAGTAAGCATGTATACAAACATACAAATAAATGCAAGCCAAATTTCACATGCGACTCCTCTGGTGATTACTGTGATCTTTTAATATATTCCTTTTATTTTTTTTCGTTGCTTTTTTCTTCAAATAAAATAAAAGCTAAAATAGCGGAACTCATTGTAAACTTTTGTAGACTACATTCAGCATTTCGAATCTATAAAACGCTTCCTAATTTGCAAATTTTGTCACATTAGTAAACAGCTGATTCAAATATTGGTTTTGCATATGTTCGAAAAGACGCAAATCCAATCAGATTCTGTGACACCATTCAAAATCAGAATTGGTTTGCAATCCTGACAACTACGCAAATCTGTCTTGGATTCCTATACCTATTTATAAATAATATTACCTATTTATAAATAAAAAATTTGATACCGAAGAAAGTACCGCTATAAAATGTTGGCAAATATGCGTAACACTTGGAAATTTTAAATGGTAAGTAGTACGTGACAGCAGGTATAGGAGGACGTGGCACCGGACAATTAATTTTTACAACACTTCTTATTAGCCCTTCCGCGCCATCTTTACTGTGAAATTTAATGTTTCTGACGTGCTGTACTGAGTTGTCGCACTTTTATTAGTTGTTAACATAACCGGTTTATGAGGTGGGGACCTCACACTGTATGTTAAGGTGCTAGGGGGAAATGTGTCCAGCAAGTTTGGTTAATAAAGTTTTACTAGTTTATTACATATGATAATAACCCAACGATTACCCTCCTCCCGCCCAACCGACGCGAGGGGCGCAATCCGCATACGTGCGGCATTAGCCGAGCCAGAAAAGGCAATAGAGTGAGTGTTGAGATCTAAAACTGCTCAGCTACAGAAACAAAAATTTCAACAGCTTAGATTTATAGTTATAATATAATAAATTGTTACATTTTCATTTATTAAGAGAAAACAATAAAGTCTTTTTAATTTTGAAAAGTGAGTCAGATAAGTCAAATGTGCTGGAATGATAATTAAGATCATGACATATACGGCGGAATGGCTCGTTTAGTTCAAAATTTGATCTACAGGATTTTAACAGTAAAGGTCTAAACTGCCTCGAAAAGCGAATCGGGATATTAAATTTAATTTCAGACAGGAGAAAAGAACTGCAAACTGTTCCATTCAAGATTTTCACTAAGAATATTATGCCAAGCATTTTCCTACGACTAGAAAGTGTAGGTAGATTAATAAGTTTTAAACGACTAGTGTATGGAGGTAGACTTGCCCTAGAATCCCATCGGAAATGCGCTTGGCGAAAAGTAAAAATTGTTTTTGAACAACAGAGCCATATTCCAATATAGGTCTAACCAAAGTTGTATAAAGTGTTTTAGTAATATACGGATCTCTAAATTCTTTAGACCAACGTTTAACAAAACTGAAGGCAGCTTTTGCTTTCAAGACCATGGTGTAAATATGAAGACAAAAATTAAGCTTAGGGTCCATATTAACTCCCAAATCAACATAGTTAAAAACTTGCTCCAGAATATGGTGTTTTATTACATAAGAAGAGGGGTGCACAGATCTACGGAAAAGCACATCGTCTTACATTTATTGAGATTCAATGGCAAATCATTTCTATCACACCATGCAACCATATTGTTTAAGTTTGTTTGTCACAGACACCTTTCCTCAGTTGAAGTGTATGATTTAAAAAGCTTTACGTCGTCAGCGTATAATAAAATTTTTGGGAACTCAATTGCTGAAGAGATATTGTTAATAAACAACAAGAACAGAATCGGGCCAAGATGACTACCTTGCGGAACACCTGAAGAAACATTAATAGTATCTGAAGGTGTATCCTCAAATATCACTCGTTGTGTTCTATTATAAAGATAGGAAGCTACCCATTGAAGAAATCTTGGCTTAAAGCCCAGTAGATCAAGTTTATGTATGAGATTAGAGAGGTTTACTTTATCGATAGCTTTGCTAAAGTCTGTGTATATAACATCCGTATGCTTATGTTCCCTAAAACCCAATGATACATGGTTTACAAATTCAAGCAAGTTTGTTAGAGTCGATTTCCTTTTACGAAATCCATGCTGAGATGAGGAAAATAACCGAGAAATCGAAAAGGTTATATGGTCAGTGATGATAGCTTCAAAAAGTTTAGGTATAACTGATAGTTTTGCGATACCTCTATAGTTTTCAATATTGGATCTAAATCCACTTTTATGCAAAGGAATTATAAATGACTGTTTACATATTGAAAGAAATATACCGTGTTTAAAAGAGGAATTAAATATCCTTGTCAAGGGCAAGTAAATATATTTGGCACTATTTTTTAGGACTTTAACTAAAAGATGGTTTTAACTTGTTTAATTTAAGTAGGACGTCTTCTTCAGAAATAATTGGAGCGTTAATTAAAGTATTCGAACACAGCACGTGCTGATAAGAAAAAGTTTTGGAAGAATTATTACAGTAGTTTGACTTGAAACATTCTGCAAACATATTGGATATAATAACATTGTCAGTTGAAATGATAGATTTGTATTTCATCATTCAATTTGGAAATCCTGCGTTTGGAGTTGACGAAATCATAAAACGATTTTGGATTACTTACAACATTCTTTTTTACTTTATTTAAGTAATTAGTATAACATTTTTTGTTTAGGTCAAAATATTGTCGAAGCAATACGGAATATTTAGAATAGTCGACAAGTGAACCGGGTTTTTTTAAATGTTTAAAGGTTCGAGTTTTTCTGTTTTTCAATTTATGTAACTCTTTCGACTACAACGGACTACTACTTTTACTTCTATTAACAATTACTATTGGACCATACTTTTCAAATAATTTCGTAATAATGTTATTAAAATGAGAGACACCCAATTCAGTATCCCCATTATAATTAGGCCATGACATCTGTTAATCCCTATAAAAATATTATTTTTACTTAACTCAATCATCTTAATTTTAGTTGGTATAGCGGAAATATGCTCAACAATGAAAATGCTGAAGTAAGCAAGATCTTTTCCGTATTAAAAACATCATTTCTGTATTGAATTGGATAAATAATATACGTTCACAAATGAATAACTACGAAGTAATAACGCACAACATACATGTTATGTATGCAGCAGTTCTTTTAAATTCGTTTCCTCGTGAATGCATATCTGAATTACTTATGTAATTTATTGATTATTCACTTTCCTGTTAGAATTTAAATTTGTCTACTATTTGCCAAACAGCTTCTCCACAAACAATGTACATTATCTGTCAAATACATCGCTATTGAGGTTGGCATGAAATATATTTAGACAACAATTGCTAAACATCAGCAATGTATAGTCCCCATTGGCAATATTGCTAGCAATTCAGATTTTTAGCAATCTTTACTGTCCCTTTATTTACACAATAAGAATCCTACATACATAATTAAGAATTAATAAAAGAAATTGTTTTAGAATTAACAATTTTTCGCGGGATTATATTCACCGCGATTATAAAAATTAAAATTTAATTTTGAATGCGAACATCGGTATTCAAAAATTAAAATTTAATTTTTATTGCAACATTTTTAAAAAAAAAAAACGCAACTCTGATTCCAACAAAGCGTGTCTCAATGGAAGAACATGGTCTTTATATAATAGTAAAAAAT